CTGGCTCAGCCCGACTCTTCAACCCCTCCAGGGATCCCGGGGACTCCCCCCTGCCCTGGGCAGCCCATTCCAACGCCCAACAGCCCCTTCTGCACAGAAATCCTTCCTCAGAGCCAGCCTGACCCTGCCCTGGGCAGCTTGAGGCCATTCCCTCGGGGCCTGGTGCTGGTTCCTTGGCTCCAGAGACTCATCCCCCCTCTCTGCCCCCTCCTGGCAGGGAGTTGCAGAGGGCCAGGAGGTCTCCCCTCAGCCTCCTCTTCTCCAGACTGAAACCCCCCAGTTCCCTCAGCCACTCCTCACAGAACTTGTTCTCTAAACCCTTCACCAGCTTCACTGCCCTTCTCTTGACACACTCCAGCATCTCAATGTCTTTCCTGCAGTGAGGGGCCCCAAACTGAACCCAGTCATCGAGGTGCGGCCTCACCAGTGCCGAGTACAGGGGTAAGGTCCCTTCCCTGTCCCTGCTGGCCATGCTATGGCTGACACAAGCCAGGATGCCATTGGCCTTCTTGGCCCCCTGGGCACACTGCTGGCTCCTGTTCAGCCGGCTGTCAATCACCCCCCAGGTCCCTCTCTGACTGGCAGCTCTCCAGCCACTCCTCCCCAAGCCTGTAGCGCTGCTGGGGGTTGTTGTGGCCCAAGGGCAGCCCCCGGCATTTGCCCTTAGTGAAACTCCTCCAGTTTACTTATCCTTCCTTAGTTATTTGACCTGAAAATGTTACCCCTTTCAGCCTTCAGAAAGCTGCACAAAGTTGTTCAGAGTGAGGCTGCTGGCAGGGTCTGAGGGCAGCGTGGAGGGTAGTGGCAGGCAGACACCAACTCACCTCCACCCCAAACAGCTCCTGGTGCAGCACTGGCCTCGACTCCTGGTGGGAGATTGCTAAGTGATGGGGGCCTGGACGCAGGGGAGAGCAGCTCTGTGAGTGATGTTGGTATAAAGTGCATCAGTCTGCTGTGCTAATTAATTACTAACTACACCTCCTGAGGCAAGCAAATCAGCAGAGAGTATGTAATTAAACCAAGACTGTTTTTGATATATTTGAAACATTTTTCTAGAATTCTCCACCTGGAAGAAAGTGGGCAGTGACAATGAAAGGTAGAGAATAGCTCATGAGAACAGAGTGAGTGTCATTTTAATGCTACTGCTGCCTGCTACCACTGTTTCAGTACAGAGCTATTGAAAAAGTTGGCAAGAGTGGTCTTTTTTTTCTTGTCTGTTGCCATGAAAAATGAAGTAATGACCCCAAAGTGTTGTTCAAATGGAGGCCTTAAGTGGTAAAGAAGGAAACAAAGCCTAACACATCAAAGGGACAAGAAATATGTGCTAAATATTTATGTATTGAAGTGTTTCTTGTGCACCCGGCAAAGAAGTTGAGCAACAGGTTCCCAAGAAGTGTCCCTTGTTCTGTCCAGGCAGGCACAGACTTAATGGTGAGGTCAGCTGCAGTCACCTTTTTAGGGTGCTCCTTAATAAATCCTCTGCTAATTAGACTCTCTTCTGCCTAATTTGCAGCTCTAAAGCTGGTACAAAATTGAATTGGTTTAGCTTCTTTTGAGCGGGGGTTGCATGAAATGTATCCATAAGTATTGCCTGGCCATTTGATGATGGGTCTGTCTGATCTGCAGGACTGACAGAGGAAACATGGGAATGACGAGCTCAGCATACAGCAAATCAAGGCTGGGAGATTACCCTGAGATTTCACATTTAAGATTGGACACGTTGAAAGTATTTGTGGTATCAGTACACTATTTATTACACTCCTCAGTATACCTTGACAGTGGTCTTGGCTCTTGTTCAAGGCTGAGCCACTCAACTCGGCACCAGGCACCCTGGTGGGATGCTCAGCATCCCCTGCAGGGGAGGCACAATCAGTTGGCAGCAGATGTTTGGCCATATAAAACCTGTTTTTCCCTTTAGCTTTGAGCCATGCCTGGCTCTATACATGCTGCCCTGACTTTGCAAAGGGGGCCTAATGCAGCCTTGAACAGTGAATGAACCCTTACGGGTTTGCAGATATGGTGGGGAGGAAGAGGAAGGAAGTATCTGCCCCAGGGACTCCTTTTTTTTCCCCTCTCAGGCATAACAGATTGTCCAGCCAGGCTAACCACATGGTGGGATTTCTGCTGCTGAAGCAAAGGACCAACATGGTGGAGAGGGTGAGGATGGAGCTGAGGGGTCTGCAGGACTCTGCAGAATGCTGTCCCTGCCATGCTTCCCAAAGGACACCCTCTCCCCTCCGTAGTTTTTGGGAGAGAAACGTCCATAGCAGCAAGAAACCCCTCCCTTCCCTCTCAGTAGCGCAGTCAATCTAGCATATGCTCTTTTCTGGTCGAAGAAAACATGGTTACTAAACAGTAAACCCACATTCCCAGTCTGCATGTTAGGGAACTATGTTATCCAAAAGGCACAACACAGAACAAATTGGATTCAAACATTGCACAGGCTAGAAACAATGCAGTGATTAAAAGACAATCTCTAACATTCATGTCTAATGCTGACCTTGGACTTCTGCCAGCAAAAGCAAGGTAAATCCATTACAGAGCTTTACAGGCAGAAAAAGGTTTTCACTCAAGTACTTTAAGTTAGAGGTTCTGCGTGCAGCCAGCCTGCAGTGCAGTACTGCCCCTGTTGCACCCCCTTGGCAGCAGGGCAGAACTGCATTACACCGCCCTTTCCCACAAACTCTCCTGCTGGTGCTCTTGCCTCGATGGCAATAGCTGAGGTAGCAAGACACCTCCTCGTGTCACCTGCCATCGGACAACACCCATTTTATATCTTAGAATTTCCTTCCATCCCTTTCTCTTATAGACCTGAGGCCTTGGGACCCCTCAAAGAGCAATAGCTTGGTCGGTGCTAATGCCATGGCATAATCTCTTTGCTCAGTGACATCAAAATTAGGCTATTTGGGGCCAAATTCCTTTACCAGCGTAAATTGGCAGGGCTTTGTCACCTTCTGTAAATGAAGATGGCCATTTGTATTTATAACATCAGATGGGTGGCTAATTGCTTGGCATTCCTTGAAGATATGAACAGACGGCAGCATAACTGATTAGCTATTATTATTCATCTTGGCTACTGTCAGGAGAGAAGTAGCAGATTTTCGCATCCAGTTATGTGCTTGGGCAGTGCAGTTTCCCGGTCCTGAGCTCCTGAGGAAGGTTGAGGTGGAGGACAGCTTTCACAGAATCACAGAACCGTCTCAGCTGGAAAAGACCTTGAAGCTCCTCCAGTCCAACCATGAATCTCACCCTGGCCCTTTCCACCAGATCCCTCAGCGCTGGGTCACCCTGACTCTTCAACCCGTCCAGGGATGGGGACTCCCCCCCTGCCCTGGGCAGCCCATTCCAACGCCCAACAGCCCCTTCTGCAAAGAAATACTTCCTAATACTTTCCTTTCAGCAAGGAGAGCTAGATTACTCTGTTGCTGGCATACAACGTCCAGGCTGGTGGTGCAGCATCACAGTACCTAAAGATACTTTCACCTCCAAAAAACCCCAGTGTTTCTCTCTGATCTGGTGGTCTCATGTTCTGAGCACTTCAATTTCCCAACAAAGTTTACTCATGGTCAGCTCATACCATGTTTGTTCTCATGTTAACACTGTTCTTCATTCCAATCAACCCAGTTCCCTCGTGCTCTTTACTAGTGAACAAGCAAACTTTATTTAGTCTCTTCCAGTTAAACAAACTCTTTGGTCCTTGATGTCTGCATGTCTCGCTGAGTCCCTTCTCACTTGGCATCCTCTTTTACATGGATGGAAGTCTCTCAAAGGCTTGTGCAACACCAATTAAACATTCCTTGGCTTTTATAAAGCTTCTGCCACTGCCGCCTCCCTGGTTGTTACCTCCAGGAACAGCCAACTTCACCACCAAACTGCAGACCATCTGCACACCCATCATGAGTGCCACTTGCCGCCACTCCTGCTTTTTGTCCTGGAGTACTCCCAAAAACACTCAGTGAGAGCATATGCAAGACCAGCTTCTGAATTCCCCTTCCAGCCTTTTCGCAGCACCTCCCATCCACCAGTTTGGTCCCAAAGCACTGATATTCTTTTACTTTCCATGCTGAACATCAGGCCAGGCCAGCATACCTGCTTTTCACACTGCTAAGGTTTTTTTTATTCCCATTTACCTTTGAATGTGCTCGCTCTTTTAAAATTTGTTCTTTCTCACCTTGACTCAAGACACAGGGATCTGTGTTTCTCTGGCCAGACCATGTTGTTTGCTCTGAGGGAGGCATCAATCCCGAAGTTCAGTGCCACTGTCCTTGCCACATGTGTAGAGATCCTGGGCTGCTAAGTTATCCGAATTCTGCTTTTTCTGCAGGTGGCAACATTTCTGATGCTGTGCAGCCCCTTTCCTCCTGCCTTCCCTGCTGTCAGGGTGCCAGCCTTTCATTCCAAGCTTGCAGAAGCATTCTCAGAAGAGGAAAGGTGGAGCACACAGAGCTGTTGCTGTTCTCATTTGTCTCAGGTAGTGCTGTGAAATATTTACTAAATGTGGT